TCCGTCTTTCATAGCAGCTTCTTTCCTTCAGTTTGTTTGGTGCAAACATTAGGCTTGCAGGCCTGTAATTTATGTGATCACTATTTAAAACGCGACATTACGCTTGCTACTTTCCGCTGCCTCTGGGGGGGGGGAGAGAAGACTTAAAGAGTTCCATCTTTATGATGAAGCCTTTGGCAAAATGTGGCTTGTTACCAGCTAGCTTCTGCGTAAAAAAGAAGATTGGAGGAATCTACATTAGTTCATCTACCAAGCTCCAGAGAATCCTTAAACTCCTGTGGGACTCCTAAAACTGGGAGACTGTGATACACAAATCTGTCTGCGTGCTCCCACTGCCGAACTGGAAACACAGTTGGAGTCCAATAAGTTAGATGAATATCTGTTTAATGCATTGAAACAGGGAATACAGGGCTGAGTACCTTGGCACCTCAGCCATTCCGAAGCTGTGTTCTGCCATAGCCAGGAAGGGCGGGAGGTCTTATACCCCAAATGATGTCACATATAGTTTACACATTAAAGAATCTCTAATTGGTACCAAGCAGTTACCATCATACAAGCACCATTCGACTTTAAACCTTACTATTGGTCACGTATGTCAGTGACTGTATTTGCTTATCTGCTCTTCATAGCAATGGGAACATTAGGGAACACTGGAATCCTTTCTGACCTTAGTGAAGGTAGTCCCTTCCCTTGTTTTTGGGGAGGTGGGTGATAAGGGTTGTGATTTGCATTCAACTTCGCTCTTGACCTCCTTGCAGCTTCTTGAATACGCATCCCATTCTTATTGCATCCTAATTCTATCCCCGCCCTTCACTACCCAAGGGAGTCTCAGAGCAGCTTACAAACTCCTTTTCCCTCCCCCTCCCCACAACAGACACCCCCTGTGAGGTGGGTGGGGCTGAGAGAGCTCTGGCAGAAACTGCTCTTTTTCAAGAACAGCTCTTGTCAGAACTACGGCTTGCCCAAGGTCATCCAGCCAGGTGCAAGTGGAGGAGTGGGGAATCAAACCCGGTTCTCCCAGATTAGAGTCCGCGCACTTAACCATGACACCAAAGTGGCTCTATATAGCTTTGTATATATTCTGCTATAAATTACTCTAATCAGAAGAATCTAGGTTACATACCAAGATCTGGATCTATTATAACTAAACTTTCAAAGGCACAGTGACAGCTGTCAACCTACAAACATGTCACAGGAAACGTCAGAACCCACATTCAGAAATCGCATTAATTTCCCCCTTGTCCTACAACTGTGTCCCATACTATTGCACTTTCTGATGGATGAGCTGATAAAGCTTAACTATCCAGGGCTCCTTTTGTAGCAGGAACTCCTTTGCATATTAGGCGACACATCCCTAACGTGGCCAATCCGCCAAGAGCTTACAGAGCTCTTCTTACAGGGGCTACTGTAAGCTCTTGGAGGATGGGCTACATTACAGGCGTGTTGCCTAATATGCAAAGGCGTTCCTGCTACAAAGAGAGCCCTGATATCTGTGTCCTGTGGGTAAAACAGGCCTCGTTATATTTAATAGGCCTTGTTACATTTTACCTTTAAAGCCCTATATGACCAGGGTCTGACGTACCTGAGGGACCGCCTTTCCCCATACATACCCCAGAGAGCACTACGCTCAGGGGCCCAACATCGCTTAGTGATCCCAGGCCCCAGGGAGGCCAGGCTTGTGGCAACCAGGGCCAGGGCGTTTTCGGTGGCGGCCCCTACCTGGTGGAACGAGCTCCCGGAGGAGATCAGGGCCCTGCAGGACGTTTCACAGTTCCACAGGGCCTGCAAGACGGAGCTCTTCTGCCAGGCTTTTAATTCGGAGCCACCGCCACCACCAACTATCTTGTGGTAACAACGGGGTGATGGGTTGGCCCACTACAAAGATCTAGCTACAGTATTGCGATGGATCGGTGCCGTTGAAGCGGGCTTTTGGGTAACATCTGTTATGCCAATAAAGATTTATGCAAGAGAGAGGGGGTAACATCTATCGGTCACCATCTTGATTTGACCAAATTGGTGACGTCACTGAGCACTTTATTATTGTTCAATACGGCTGTTTTAAATGTTTTCTATTTGGCACATGGTGCCCCTGTTTGTAAGCCGCCCTGAGGCCCGGGGCGGGATAGAAGCTAAATAAATAAATAAGTAAATGTCATGCTGTTTCAATTGCCTGGGACGGCGTGTGTCCCCTTTGCAACCTATATCCTCATTCCATTTGGACCGCAACTAATTTAAGGCTTCCGGTGGTTTATTGTTGAGCCCCTTCTGGTTTTGCCCCGCGCCCCTCCTCCTCCTCCTCCTCCTGCCAAGGGGGCGGTCGGGGTCGCGGGCGCCTGCTGAGCCCCGGAAGTGCTGTCCGGCGGCCCCTGGGAAGGGGCCG